CTGCTTTCTAAGCATGTGCTCCAGCCACAGAACACTGGACATCCAGATGCTGGGTCTTTGCATGGCAGTTAAGTGCAAACCAGAAGCCCCTAAAAGGACATTTTTGTGAAGAAGGCCAGTTCTTCCCATGAAGAAAGCTGAAAGGACATTCAGAGCCGAGCAGGAAAAATGTCCAAAAAGTGCCTTGGGCTCCTCTTTCTCCATTTGTACACACAACATGCACAACAGGGCAGAAAGTGGAATTGAGACATTCCTCAACTAACTACATGCATACAAACCGATACAAGCATTGAGTGACTTCACACTTAGACAAGTATGGCGCATTCTCACTGAAATCAATGGGACATGCAATAGTGTCAACTTAATATGGGTCCCATAGAGTGCAGTGTATTTGCTCTAAGATAAATCCAGATCCAAGACTTAAATAGATGGTATAACACTGGGGCTCCACTGAGCTAGCACAGCGGATAGGTATGGATCATCCTGGCAAGAGCCACATCATATGGAGGGAATTCCATAAGTTTATAATGTGCAGAAGTACCTTGTTGCTCTTTCCGGGATGTATGGCCTGTTCATTTCACTGGGTGGCCCCCACACAAATTCTAGTCTTTTGGCAGAAGGGAGGAAATTCTATCCATCTTCTCAGCCCCATACATACTTTTACAAACTTCTGTCATGCTTCCCCTTAGCTACTGGGGTTCCCCCCCCCTTTTCACTTACCTCTCCCCCAAATTCTTTAGCATTTCCATATAAGGAAGATGCTCCAACACTTTCACTATTTTGATTGTCCTTCTCTACACTTGTTCCAGCCCCACAATATCCTTGTTGCAAATGCAGCTGCCACATGAGACATGGGTACCTAGACGAATGGGGGAGAAGAAACCATTCACCCCAACATAGAAATATCACCCGAGGTTCCTTTTTTCCTCCTCCCTCCCAATCCCTCTGCCTTTTGTGCTATGTCCCTTTAGCTGGTAAGTCCGAGGAGCAGGACTGAGTTATTGCTGATCTCCCTAGCTGACTCCCAGGGCCTTTTCCAGCTCAAGGGAATAAACAATGCTTCCAATAATAAAGGCTATTTCTCTCCCAGGAAAATCAAGGCTGCACCACTTAGGGCAGGGGGAATGAGGAGTGTAACCCCAGGATCCACTGAGCGTAGACCTTTTAAACTGGACACCCTTTGCCTCTGCATTATGAGCGTGATCAGCAGCAGTGCGGGCAATGGCTAGGCCAGGCCAGGCCAGGCCAGACCCCCGGGGGGGGGGCACGCTCCCTTCTCCCCAGGGTGAACCAGAGCTGAAGGGGCTGATGCCTCGCCAGCCCTCGCCTTTGAGGAAGGGCAGGAGCTGCCCCTGTCCCTGGTGGGAGATCTGGCCTGGCAGAATGGGCGAGACGCGTGCGGGGCGGCGGGGGGGGGCGGTCGCGGCAGCGCGGATCCGCGGGGCGCAGCCCGCGGGAAGCGCTCCTGCGCAAGGCCCGCTGGAAGGAAGGCAGCTGCGCGCGAGCACGGCCGGGCTGCGCTGGCCTCGCGCAAGAGCACTTCCCCAGGGACGCAGCTCCGTGCGCATTCGTGGGAGGGGACATCTGGATCTGCCACCTTTGCCCCCGGATGCCAGCGAGGGAGGGGCGCAAGTCTGCAACACCCAAGCCCCCCCACCCCGTCCCCAGATCCTCCTTCCGCAGAGAGGGATAGAGATAGATAGATAGCGAGATAGATAGAGAAGAAAACTCGCTGTGGGGAGAGGGGAAAGGCCCCAGGGGACGACTGCTTCCCTCGATGTAGCAGAGGGACCCCTCTTTCGCGGCTGCTGGCGAGGGGGCGGCCGCGAGGGGGGCGAGAGATCCTTTTCCCCGGAGGTCTCTAACGTCCCTTCCTCTCGGGCTGATTTCGCAACCAGCCACATCAAGGTACATCCCAACTCCCCACTCTCGCTCCCCCCGCCCCCGCCCCTCTTCCATTGTTTCCAAGCCCTTTTCCTATCTGCCTTCATCTTGTCAGGCAGAATCCCCCGATTTGGAGTCTGTGTGGTTGGGCTGGCGGGCTGGCTGGCTCTCTCGCTCTCTCTCGCTCTCTCTCCATCTCTCCCCGTCTTTCTTCCTCTCTTTCTTTCTTCCCCTCTTTCTTTCTTAAGAGTGGGGAGTGACAGATGGTGGGCCGCTTTCCCCAGAGAGCGAGATCTCCCTACACGCGAGCGCCTGTCAATCAGCGCAGCTCATGTGATAACTCCTGCGGATGACGTGCCAGCCATATGGTCTGGCATCAGAGTTGGTACCCCTCTGCCTGCCTGCTCGAAGCGTGCCACTTCCCTCCTCCTTTTGGATAAGACACTGAAGGAGACGGGGTGGACCTCAAGGAGTCTCTCCCCCTCCCCCCCCCCTATTCTTCCCCTCCTTACTCCCAAAAGATGCGGGGTACGAGGACTTGAGGATTCCTCCGCTCAGCTTCGGAGGTAAGTTATGTAAGGAAAGAGCGGGGCAGAAACTTAAACACTGGGTCGGAACTTGCCTCCCCCACCCGGCCACCTTCTTGCCCCCCCCCTCCACAGAATTATCTCTCTCCCCTCCACCCCTCTTTAGCACACATAATTTGTTCGTATCTTTAAGGAAGAACGGATGGGGCGCGCAGGAGGAATCGGGGGGGGGGGGTTAGGCTCTTTCTACGCAAGATTTTTATAGATCCAAAATCGCTTATGTAGCACATCCCGGTTTCGTACCATGTTATCGCCCTTTCTCAAAACAGAGATCTCAGCCGTCCATGCATGCCTGGCACATTTAAAAGAGTCCTTTTAAAAAACAACAACAACCCACCACCACGACATTATTTTTTTTGGAGATCTAAGCAGACGATTTGGTAATATACTCTTCCCCGAGTCTTTTCTTTAAAAGCGACAGCAGATGATAATATTGAAAAGCTGCCATCCCCGACAAAAAAGCATCTTGATATCAGAGAGCGGATCGATTGCACTTATCCCAGTAAAAGGCGCCCGATCAGCCTAATCCCATCTAACAAGCCGTTCCTTTTCGCCCGAGGGGGTTTTTTCGGAGGTGTTTGATGGTGGGTTGTTGTGCGGGGAGGCCGTCCTTGTTCTCCTGCTTGTGACACTCCCGGCGCCTTCCCGCTCCCGAGGCAAAAGGCAAGGACCGCGAGCAGCCGCGCACCGAACCGGCCTGCGCTCCAGCGCTCCGCGGCCGCTCGAGGTTCCCGCAGGAAGATGGTCTTGGCGGGGCTGCGGGTGAGGCGCAGGAGCCGCGGAGCCGGGGACCGGGGACCGGGGACCGGGCGCGGGGGAAGGCGGCGGCGGCGGCGGCCGCGCCGGGGTCGCTCGCGGGGAAGGCGGCTGGCTCCCTTCGCCAGGCTCAGCGGCACGGCCAGACCGGGGCGGCGCGGGGGCCGGATCCTCTCTCCTTCCTTGGACGGACCGGGAGCGGGACCGCGCAAGCCGGCGAGCGGGGCAGAAGGCGGCGGCGGCGGCGGCGGCGGCGAGAGAAGTTGCGAGGCTGCGACGCGGGGACGGAGGGTCGCGGCGGGCGCGGGGCGCAGCGGGACGCGAGGCATGCGAGGTCCCGAGCGCCGAAATGCCCCGCTAGTTTCGATCGCGCTTATTCGAAGCAACCCAGCCGAAGGGAAGGTCCGCTTTTTAAGCGGGAGGGAAGAAATGCGAATCGGAGAGAAAAGTTTGGGGGAAATATTGCTTAGCATTCTTGAGCTCGGAGTCACAAAGCTCTCCCGAGAAATACCCCAGCTGGGCTGGGTAGAGGTGATCGATCGATCGACCTATCTATGAGATGCCGTGTTGATAAGATCAAAAGCAGCGGTTTAAATGCCGTTCAAGCGGATAATATCGAAAAGAACGTTAGCAAACAAAACTAAAATACAGCGATATTGATAACAGTATTAACCACAACCGGGAAAATATTCATAGCGTTTCAACAGCAACAACAACGAAAAGGGAGGGATCCATCTGCCGGAAATATTAAACTCAGCTTTGCACGGATTCAGTAGGAAAGCAATAGAGACACCAATTAATTTTAATCACACTTTTAAACGAGTCAATTGCTTTTATGGAGGGAGGAGAGAGCTATGTCAAGCCAGTTCTAGGCAAATCTTTCCTCCCCACCAGCTCCTACAAATGCTCTGATGTATGTATATATATGTATGCGATATCCCACGAAAACTGTGGGGTGGATGGAAATGGAGAAAGAGCAGGAGCTTTTGGCAGTTGTCGGCAGTAAGGTGAAGAGAGTAATTTCGATAGGAGTTGTGCTCTGTTCTTCGATGCAAATCGTTCGAAGGAGAGGGAAATATACGATAAAGTGGTTAAGTCAGGCTTTAGAAATGAAGTGGGAGGTTGGGAAGGTAGGGTGAAATTGCGGAGAGGTTAGGGAGGGACTGGCGAGGGTAAGGAGAGGCCAGGGGACGCTGTGGGATGCTCTGGGAGTCGCGGGATGCCAGAGCAACGAGCCCCCGTGTAAGACACGAGAGAAGAGATCCATTTGGTCCTAGTATGAAAAGCGAGGTACCCGTAAGGAAAGCTGCTCCTTGATCGAGAACGAATAGAGACTTTTGGAAGGGGCGGGAGCTGAAAGAATGCCTTTCTCCCTCTTCCCTCCCCCTTCCCACTTGGAAAAGCTACTTTGTGCGCGCCAGTGATAGGTGCAAAGCTCTCCATTTTTGGATGAGATGGGCCACCCCAGCAGTGCCTAGCACAGATCCGAAGAGTCGCTTCCTGCTCGGAAGCTGAAAACCCACGCAAGACTGGACGGCGTGAAGAACGGGTAGCTATCGGAGTGGTTGGCAAATTGCTCAGAACAGTGGCCTGATCGAGCGGGACGGCTCTTTGGGCAGGGTGCTGGTGCTTTCTGAAACAAACCGGTGTGATTATTTCTTGTTTCCATTCTTCTGTCCCCCCGCCCGCTCTGCCTGTGTGTGTGTGCCCCTCCCCTCCCCTCCCCTCCCCTCCCTCCTCCCTCCCCGCCCCCATGTCACCTCTCCAGCCACCATGTTGACGCGACTCTTCAGCGAGCCCAGCTTGATCCCAGAAGTTCAGAAGTTCTCCAGCTGGGCAGACGATTGCGAAGACGATGAGTCAAGCGACAAAGAGGAGGGCAAGGGCAAGAGCTGTCCCCTCCAGGATGAGCAGAACGACACGGAGGTGAAAGAGGAAAACGACTTAGGGGGCGATGAAGAGGAGGAAGAGGAGGAGGAGGAAGGGGCCGAGGAAGCGGAAGGAGATCGGCCTAAGAAACGGGGCCCCAAAAAGAGGAAAATGACCAAGGCCCGCCTGGAGCGCTCCAAGCTGAGGCGCCAGAAGGCCAACGCCAGGGAGAGAAACCGCATGCACGACCTCAACGCGGCCTTGGACAACCTGCGCAAGGTGGTTCCCTGCTACTCCAAGACTCAGAAGCTGTCCAAGATCGAGACGCTGAGGTTGGCTAAGAACTACATCTGGGCCCTGTCGGAGATCTTACGCTCGGGCAAGAGGCCGGACCTGGTCTCCTACGTGCAGACTTTGTGCAAAGGCTTGTCTCAGCCCACCACCAACTTGGTGGCCGGCTGCCTGCAGCTCAACTCGAGGAATTTCCTTACCGAGCAAGGCCAGGAGGCCGGGAGGTACCACGGGCCCAACTCCACCTTTGCCATGCACCCCTACACCTACCAGTGCTCGCGGATCTCGGGCGCGCAGTGCGCTTCCAGTACCATGGCTAGCTCCCACGCCTTGAGGACGCACGCCTACTGCGCCACCTACGAGTCCCTCTATGGGAACGCCTCGCCAGACTACAATAGTTCGGAATACGACGGGCCGCTGAGCCCTCCTTTGTGCGTTAACGGGAATTTTTCCCTCAAGCAAGACTCTTCCCCAGACCACGAGAAAAATTACCACTATTCTATGCACTACTCCGCCCTCCCAAGTTCCCGCCCGTCCGGGCACAATTTGGTGTTCGGGTCTTCTGGAATGCGCAGCGGCGTCCACTCGGAGAACGTTTTGCCTTATGAGATGCACCTCCACCACGACAGAGGTCCCATGTATGAGGAGCTCAATGCTTTTTTCCATAATTAACGCCTTCCCCTTGTCCCCACCCTCAGCCTTTGGCGCTGTGTTCCCCTTCCCCTTCTGGTTTCACGCGTAACTATGACCACCTGTAGATTTCCAGTGGATTGGATTGGGGAAGGCGGTGGCGGGGGGCGGGGGGGGTGACCTGATTGAAAGACAAAACAAAACAAAATCCTCGGCCTTCTCTGATTCCCCCTTCCCCCTCGCCTCCTCCCGAGAGCTGCAACTTTTAATTCAACTGTGAGCCACTTTCCCCCACAGAGTTAGAGAGAGAAGAATAACCTTTGCAATCAGTAAACTAGTTGAGCCGGACGTTCTTGGTTGGAAGTTGGAGGGCGCAGCCCGATCCACAAGCCATTCGGGCCGAAACAACGGGCCTGGATCACTTTGAAGCCCGTCAAATTCGAGAGGATTGATTCGGTTTCAGTTTGAGGTCAATTACTTTGCTCTAAATGGGAGGCCGATGGAGTTGATAAGTCGTGCTGGTTTCCATGGGACTCCAAACTTGACGGGGAGTCTGGCTGTAAACCTGTGACCTCGCCTGCTTCCCTGCCCCCACTAAGTATTACTAAGAGAAATCTGGTGCAATATATACTCTAATGCAATTTTATATTTTAAAAGAAACTATATAGCTGGTAAACTAGCTAGAGGTGTAGCTGAGGTCTTGACTGCCTGGAAAGAGGGTTTTTAATCCAAATTGGAAGGATTGTCAAGGAGGGGGAAACAATATTGTTCAAATGTATGGGGAGGGGGGAGATTTGCCCCATCCCAATAAATTGCCTATATTCAGCAATGCCTTATAGGTATTTAATCTTTTACTTCCTTAAAAAGCAAAATGGTTTTAGAGTAAAATAATTAGTGAGGGATGGATTGGGGCCTTTCCATCCTTCCAGCAATTAAATCAAGAATTCTCTGAAAATTTAATCTATTTAAGTATGTTTTAAAAATGTTCACAAACTTTAAGTCAGACTTTCAATGCAGTGAGAACTTTAAAAAGCAATAAAGGGGGCAAACAGATGATAAATATATTCTATCTTTATCTATGCAAGTAGGTACTGAAACTAGGAAAAAAAGGTTTTTAAAAGGAAGGAAAAGAGGAAAAGAGAAAAAACAACAAAAATAATCCATATGAAATATTAGAAATATGGACCAACAAACTCGCTGAGGTTGCAATTTGTGCACTTTTTTGATTTGGGGGAAATGGACTGTGGTATATTTCCCTGGTATTTAACAATCACTGACTTTTTGAACCACCCCTTGTAACCCCAAGTAACTTATTTTCCAAAATTTGTGTGTCATGCTGTTTTTTACCTGTTTTAAAAACATTAATGAAAAAAGTGGAAAAAAAGATTTTTATGAAATGGCAAAAATGTTTTGTTATGCATGGATAGGAGGGGGAAAATGCAAATATGCAAATTTTAAAGGTGATGTGAAGAAAACACTGATTATTATGCTTAATACTTATGTTGGCTAGTTTCCCCCCCAGGTTGATAGTAATTCTAAGTTATTTCTTTCTGTAATGGGTTTTGGGGGTGGGGGAAGACATACGTTTATGTAACAATACACCAGTATATAAATCTCTATATAAAAACCAACAACATCTTCTTAAGACTCAAACTGGTATATTTTCCCCCAACAGAGTAATATTTCATTTTTCATTTCTTTGATAACTTTTTTTTTGCAGGATGTGCAAATATTATCTCAGAATCCCCCCTCCTTCTTTTAATATGGCCTGCATCACCTTTAGACATACCAGCATTTTTAAAATTCAAAGGCAAGGAGCATACATTTCTGATCAATGTTTTTAGAACAAAAATAAACAGAAAAAATTGATAACATTTTACAAAAAAAGAAAAGTTGTAGCCAATATGAAATGTCTATTGGACACCAGAAGTGCTTTTCGTGTGTTTCTGTTCAGTTTCCTTAAGATTAATAAATATTTATGTCAAATGATACGCTAAAGAAAAAAGATTTCTCCAAGTCTTGTTTTAAATAAGGACAGCTATTTTCTCTATTTTATTTATGTATTTGTTCACTCTTTACCACCCTGCCATGTTTGGTTTACACACCAAGATATCCTGCAGCTCAAAGAAAGCTTTGCAAGATGGAATGCCATTTCCAAGGTCTTTTTCTTAAATCTCCCTTTTACTTAAAAATAATTTAAACATAAAGATCAAAAGATGAAGACATTCTATGAATGACTGTCTAGGTATGGAACTCCTCCCCCCTCCCCTTGGCACCCTACCATCTGCATTTGAAAATTAGGAACACCAAGGGAAGGTTTGCTCGGAAACTTCAGTGTTTTGTTTTGTTTTTTCTAAAATGCATGCATTGGTTAGAAACAGACAGGGAAGGGAGTGTAAAACTCTGGTATTCAATGGTATGTTTTAAGCATTCATTTAGAGATCTTTTTGTGAAATGCATTGGAACACTTTTTGACGGGCTGAGAGCTGCAAGTCAGCTCTGATTTTATTCAAACGTGTAATGAAGGCGTATCCTAAGACGACAATTAATAAATATTAGATGTTGACTCCCTCAGGTTTACTAGTTTACTTCAAACAAGTTGTACTAAAGATATATCTGCGAGACCCCATTCTTTCATTTTGGCCAGACACGTTTCAAAGAGAGGGGGTGGGGGTGAAGCCCCAAACAGACTAAGATGGCTTCAAAGCATCTTTAGCTTGACAGTAAGTCTTTGGAAGGCCTACTTAAAAATATATTAGATTTCTTTCTCTCCCACACACTTTTTGGGGGGAGGGGTGGGGGGGAGACCCACTTCTCATTTTATAAAGACTAATGTGGTTTTCTTGTTTTGCACAGATGGCATTTTCATCGCACACTCACTCTCCTCACACCATCTCTGCCTGCCTCTTTCTCTTTCTCTTTCTCTTTCTCTCTCTCAGGCACACGCACACATTTTGCTTCAGGTCACATAAACAAGATTAAAAACAAAAGGTTCTCCAACTATATGTTAAGGGCAATGATCTTCTCTGCTGTTCGAGGAATCAGATCAAATCTAGTGTATAGCTAATGAATAAACAGCCATCGGGAGGGTGTCTTTTTGTGAATTAGGTCCCCCCCCCCCCCCAACTGTGTGCCTTCGTTTCACCGAGAGTCAGAACATAGACCAAAAAAAGAGACATTGGGAGCTGTCCAAGCTGTGGTGCTGAACCCCGGAAGAACCAGTCACTGGTCCCTAATCGCCCTCTTCCCACTGGAAGTTTCTCGGAATTGGTTGGCATTTGTATAGGACACTTGCAAGGCACTCTAAGAAGAAGTAGGTCTATTTCCCTGCGATCCAAAGTGAAAAGTTAGACAGACAGGGCCCGGTACTGTCAGAACAAAAAAACCTAAGAAGTTCTATTGTGCTGTGAGTGGGTGAGAGTGTCACTGTAGATTTGGCAGTTCCAGGTGGTGGGAGGATTAGATTAATCCCAAACTTCCAACACTCTCAGGAATTGTTTTACCTATGCAAAGAACATCTTGCTTCATAGCGATACAACATTTTTGCAACCGTGCCATTTTACAAATATATTCTGTTTTTGGCTGCACTTTGTTTAAATTGCTAACAGTTTACAACATCGCTATGGGCAGGTACAGTTCTGAATGTACAAAAGAGAAAAACAGAGTTATTTTCCTGCCTGACTGCCCATTGATCTCTGAGAATTGCATGGTTTTCTCCGCTTGCTATTATCAGCAAAACTGTCTCGTAAAGGAACTCAAGATGACTTAGGAAGGAGGTTCAGTATCAGGTCAGCTTTGTGCTTCAACTTCTGACACTCTGCGCACACAAAAGCAAATGTCATTGACTTCCACAGGAGTCTTTTTTCTTACCAACACTTGCTGATGGTGTTGACGTAGTTGCCTGATCTTTTAAAGTTTCACTCTAAGAAAATTGTAACTTTCAAGTAGTAGATTCCATGTGTAGTTTCTCTGTGGTCTTCTCTGGTCTTTCTCTCGTTCTCTCTCTTTCTTTTAAACAGTCTCTCTCCCTCTCCCTCTCCCTCTCCCTCTCTCCCTCACACACACACACACACACTTTAGTGTAGACTAGAAACCAGTACTGTGTAACTTTTGAGTAACTTGTTTGCAGACGGTTACATTTTCTTCCCTTCCTTCTTCGCTCTCTTTCCACCCCACATGACCCCCATTTCCATCTCTTCCCATTCCTTCCTTCTTTCTTTCCTTTACTTGACAAGATGGTGTAATTGTGTATTAGGTGGGTTCCCCAGGTTCGTCCCTCAACCCGAATATCCACTAACTTCTGCAATATACCCCAATTTCAGTCCTGCTGTTAGCAAATACAAACACCCCTTCTCTTGCTCTTTCTCTTCCACCAGATCCATTCCCACATTTTTCTAGCTGTCTTTCTTTAGAATGGACCATGATCCAGAACAACTGAGAATATTCCATAGGCTCCTCTCCTTTCCTGATGCCTCAACTTACCTATGTGAGCAAGATGCAAATAGAAGCCCGTTTTTGTCCCACAAGGTCAGTGTTTCTCTCAATTAGGTGAGAGAAGTTGGTCTGGACTCCCATTGAAGCCAATGGTATCTGCAAAGCCACAATTCAGTTCAAAGACACCATTTCCTTTTGAGCTCATTTAGGGACTAAGCTGGCTCCAAACCACGTTGTTCTTATACAGACCATCTTAAATGGCACCTCTGCCTGATCTTTGCATCCTATACAGAGTACCCCTCCTATAGCTTCCTTTGAGAATATAATACTTATGTAGGAGTTTAATCATTAGAACTGGTTTCACCCGGGTGTAAGCCTGTAAATGATTCCTGAGCCTTTCCTTGTTGGTTATACACATCTAACATAAGGTATATCTAAACCACCTTTGCATTTTTCTGTAGTTTAGACATCTCTTCAAGAAGACTACACATACAATGCACACACTAAAACATTAGCTTTAACCGCATCTACTCAGAGGAAGACGCAATAGTGAAGTACCCCCAGGTTTCTGAAGTGCTCAATTCACTGTTTCAAAGGATGCAAGTAAT